TATATTGTAAGAGGAATGACACCAAACGTGCAGAACCACAAGGTGTGACACTGGAAGGAGAGGGGTCCTAGTCTAGGTTTGACACGCAGGACCGCTATGCCTGTAGGTTGAGGTACAAAGCAACTGCCCACAGAAATGATGCTGGTTTCCTCTCTGCCCCGAATGTTGCTCTGTCGCCCTCCATTCAGCCCCAATGGCCCTTCCTGGCCACTTTTGGGGTTCCCTGGACTTGGGGAGAACAAAGGAACTGGGATCCAAACAAACTCCTTTTCTTTCCCCAGGACTCACCAGACCAAGGAGAAGCCTGCTCACAAGACTGCCATGCAGGAGCCAAGGAAGACCAGCATTGCCTGAGCTGGATCTCTTCGTCTTCCCCATGCGACAGCACCCGCTTTCCTCAGCCAAGTTAATACTATGGGACATAACTTGAGAGACATGAAAAGAGAACAAGGTAGGCGTTGTAGGGCCTATCAGATGCATCCCACCCACCAAGGACTAAGGCTGGGGGCAACTACGGGAAGCAGGGGGACGCAGTGGTCCCCCAAGAAACCTTGAAGGGCTACTCTCCCACCAGATGCCCCAACACAAAGAATATCAATTGTTTTGCCCCAAGATGACCTCGAGAGGAGTGGGGAATTTTCACCAAGTTGGGGGGCGGGCGGTTCCCTTGGGTATTTTAAAGACCAAGATAGGCCTTTTTAAAAGCAACTTTGAGTCAGTTAAAAAAAAAAAAAGGCCTCCTGTGGATGTGAAATAATCCCCTAAAACATGGAAAGAATGGACCCCACACCCCCAATACGGGAACATTATGGGAAAAAACATTTAAGCCCTGGCTGGGTCTTGGGAACCACAAAAAGCCCTGGAGGGCTGTCCATGGCCTGGACTTTGCCCACCCCTGGTCTAGGCCAATATAAACCAGGGGGCTCTGGACGTCCCGGGCGAAAAGGACACCCTGCTGGGGACAGAAAAGGACTCATGGGTGTCAGCTGTGCACCCTTGGTTTACAGCAGATCCTTTTCTCCCTTCCATCAGAGGAATCCCCACAACACCCTGTAGAAGGGTGGCCACGTCTGGAGGGACCCTGGGCTCTCCTCCTGCTGCTAAAAAGGAAATAAGGCAAGATGGCATCAGCTGAGCTGACCTCTCTTCTCCCACCCCATGTGAAATGCAGAGGATCTCGCAGGAAAGGTTCTCCTTGCGGGGGAAAAACACTGCAGAGTTCCAGGAGGGATACAGGTTCTACTCCTGGATCACCTGGCAAAGAAACTCAGTGTGTGGGTTTAAAAAAAATATTCCCAGCCTCATGCCTGCCAGCTGTGTTGGACTCCAACTCCCAGAATCTCCATTACCAGACAGCGGTGCCCAAAGCATCTGGAGGGCACCAGGCTGGTGGAAACCACCAAAGAGAATGGAAGGAAGTCCTCAAGGCATGAAGTCAGCTTAAACTTTGCATGGCGTGAAGGCAGCACACAGGCAAAAATGGAACAAGGCAAGGAGTAAGGAAAGGGAAAGAATAAAAGCTTGCCTGTTAAGATGGGCTCAGTTATCATCCAGGTATCACCCAACTTGCATTCAAACGCCGGGGCCCTTCCACACTAGACAACTGTAGCCCTTGGGCTTTGCTTTAAGAGCTGTCTGGCATCTTGGGATTTGTAATTTCATGAGGTATTGAGAATTCTCAGACCGAGAGCTCTGGGGCCTCCCCAGACTACAAATCCCAGGATTTGTACAGAATGCAGCCAAGGTGGTTAAAATAGATTCAAAGGGCTTTAACAGTGGAGTTTGAAAGGGCCTCGAGTGCAAGAGGCGGACTCCCAAGTTTAGGGCTCATTAGCTGAGAAGTGTGTTGGTAGAAAGCCAACTCAGGCTACCCTTCACAAACATCTAAGATGGTCAAGCCTTGGGACACATGTTTCTAATCTTCAAAACTTTTAAAATATCTTTAGAACAAGCAGCGGCTGCCAGAGGGGTCCTCTCCCCGCTTTTCCCCAATCACACCTACAGCCTGTAGGGATACAGCCCAGTCCAGGTACAGATCGAACACCTCACCAATAGCTAGTCTGGGTCAACTCTGTGAGTCCACGGTTCTTTGTGCTTCAACAAGTCTGTGTTGTGCTTAATTCTTTGTCTGTTCCCACCAGGATGCACCAGCGCCTTCCCATAACACTGTCAACAGTATTTGGCAAGAGGGAGGGAAAGAACACTCCTCTATGTGACACACACGGGAGGAGGGATTGTCTGTCTTCTTCCTATGGATTTGTGGTCAGCGTGTCACACCAACAAAGGCCTAGGCCAAGTGCTTGGCAGAGCAGATGGCTGTTGAAGTGGTGAACACGTCAACAGTTATTGATCCTAAATATTGCTGTAATACTTCTTAACGTTTCAGATATAGAGAGGAAGGAGTCAGAACCACTCAAGCAAAATGTTCAACCTGAGTTCCACATGGTGGAACGTAGGCTCTGAAGGGACTTTGGCGTCAGCATGGACACAAGAGGGGGTATTTTTCTACTCCGGAGGGAGGTTGCCAGGAGGGCGGGGGAGAAAGGAAAGGTTAAAAGTCTTGAAAAGAACCCCAAAAAAGGCACGGCACTATCACTTCACATGGTTTTTTTTTGATAAGCTCATTTTGTGTTGTCCTTAAATTGCTACATCCCTAAATAACTGTCCAAATATACAAAGCCTAAGAAACCACCAGCAATGCACACCATTCAGTCCCAGTAGAGCTGCTTCTTTTAAGACAGCAAGCAAGCAACAGTGGACAGCTTATAACAACTTCTCCAGTGATCCACTTTTCCCCAAACTTCTGTTCAAGGCTTCCCTATGCAGCCCCATCTCCTCCCGGTCAGTTCCCATCGCTCTCCACTTCTCTCCTTGCTGATCTTTGGAAGATCTCATGGAACCACTTTAGTGCTGTGGAAATCCTGGATGTGAGTGCCAGCGCTCTTTTGACCATGACCATTGGCCCTTAGTGCCAGAAGTCCAGGGACTCACCAGGGTATATAAAGACTAGCCATTTCTTAGAAAGAGTCACCTGCCAAGAAAAGAAAGCAATGTTGCTTGAAGGTGTGCTGTATCCTCTGAGGCAGTAGCTAAGTCCAAGGCAAGCAGCTCAGGGATGGGTCTGTCCTTGTCTCTGGCATCCTGATTTGCCTTAATGTCATTCCCACACCTTCACCAAGTTCCAATGGGGGACAATGTATTGCTTTTATTGCCAAGAAGTATGGTGTGTCCCACATCTACTCTTTCAAAACTCTGCCAAGGCTTCCACTCACGGGGTTGCAGGGAGAATAGAATATCAAAGGTGACAAAAGGCCAACAACTCCTTCCTTCCTTCCTTGAAGTGTGTTGCCTCTTTCCCTTCAAAGTACTTCCTCCTTCTCTTGAAAGTGCAGCACTGCTCTCCAACCCCTTCCACCAAGCTTCCTTCTGTGAGTGATGCTTAGCCATCCCCTACTAGTACCAATAGAGAAGGGTTTGTGTAATTGTCCATTAAGGTCAAGGGCTGGGGACTAAGCCAATACGTTTTTAGGAATAAATGGAAATCCACACACATTTCTGTCTTTCATTTCAACCCACCAGCCTTCTACCTACAACATGCCAATGCCTGCTAGTTCACCAAGACATAACCGCCGTGCTGGGGGTCAACAGTCTCCATCATTTCACAATCAAAGAGAGCAGGCAGCTCCGCCAGGCCTAAGGCCTCATAGCTGGACTGGGACCCAGGAGTTTCCGAACTCCTCTGGGCGTCGCTCATTGCTACAGTGCCACTCTGCTGGGCAAGGCCTAGGGGGTACTGGTGTTGGTTGGCATAGTCTGGTTCGGGCGAGGTGCCCATTGGCAAATCGCAAGTCTGGTAGGGATACTGCTGCTGTGGTTGTTGCACTGAAAGCTGTGATGGCAACCGGGGCGAGCTGTGAATTGGGGGTGAGGGAGGCTGGTCCAGCAGCTGCAGCTTTGGATACTGACTAAGGAAAGAGTCGTATTGCATTTGTTCCGCAGAAGGCTCCATGACGGGGCTCAGGGGCTGCACCAAGCTGAACTGGGGTGGGGTTGGAGCTGAAGCCGGCTGATCTTCGTGGCAGGGAAGGGGCAGCTGGCTTGACCCGGGGTATGAACTTTCCGCAATTTGCATCTGGTTGAAGTAGGCTTGCAGCTGGGATTGCTTCTGCAGGAACAGACGCTTCTGGTGCAACCTGAGTGGAGGGAGACCAAAAAAGAAAAAAGAAAAAAAGGCAGCTCAACCATGTCTATAAGCCACAGCAACTCCCATGTTGATTTATCCTCCTGCCCCCCCCAATAATAACTGTACCCCCTCCAGGGAAAATCTGAAGGCTGGAGGATTCAGAAGGACTTTTTGTCTAACCTGGTGTTATGAGCAGAGAGCCAGGACCAGAGCTCCCACCCTCTTTCATACCATTTTTTTTTTAAAGCATTTCTATTTCCTTCTTTCAGTATCAAGGAAGCTAAGACTAAGAAAAAGGCAGCTGCTTCTTCAGTTTGATGCTGAGTGCACTTCTAAACACAGATCAAAAGGCAAAGACACAAAAGGAGGATTCAAAACAATTATCAGGACAGACTGAATGTTTTCAGGCGGGAGCACATCAGCCTACATTGAAATCCCCCCTCCCTCTGCCAGTTCAATTCTCAGCAAGAGAGGCTGGCCCAGGAAGGGAAATGGGGCTCTGCCCCACAGAAGCTGTCTCCCTGCCAGCCTCAGTCTTGTCTCTGTGCTACATGGCAAGCCAAGTCCCTCCTTATAAAAGCCTTGCCAGAACAGTTTCCCGCAACTGCCTCTTTTCTTCCTTAAAGGTAAGGGAAGATATGAAGGGAAGATTCTTCCCGGGCAACAGTAAATCCTTGTTGTGTGCCTTCAAGTCATTTCTGATTTTTGGTAAACCTATTACAGAGGTTTCTTGCCAAGATTGGCTCAGAGGAGTTTTGCCTTCACCCTCCTGAGGCTGAGAGAGTGTGACTTGTCCAAGCTCACCAGTGGGTTTCCATGGTTGATCAGGGATTTGAACCCTGGTCTCCCGGAGTCCTAGACCAGCACTCAAACCGCTATGCCAGACTGGCTCTCAGTAACTCCTTGTGAAGGAATTAACATTGACTGGTCATCTCTGGAGCCAAGAAGGACAGATGGGCAGGCCTGTGCCATGAATTCTGATGGAATTTATTGACCAATGAAGGACTCTGCCCTGGCCAATGTTTTTGCCTGCCCAGGGGCTGGGTGTGCTTCAGTCTTGGCTACTTGACCACTTGGCCTGCTGCTTCCTTTTGCTCTGAACATGGAGGCTCGGTTTAGTTGTTCTGCAGTCTTGGGTGCTTTCCTTAGCTACTGGTGTTACTGTGTTCATGTAGCCTGTCCAAACCTATCATGGCTTCCTGTTATTTCCAACATGCCCCTCATCAGAAGCCCCTGCCCTCCTACTCACCTGTGCTCCTGTAACTGCTGTTCAAGGCTCCGGGGCAGCTCCTTGCAAAACACCTGGCAGGCATTCTGGGCTTTCGAAAGCAGGTTGGGCTTCTGAAGCAAAGAAAAAGAATTGCTGAATGATCCCTTCATACACAGAGCATTAAGTCTTCCAAAACGAGCATAGAAGAGGAAGTGGCACCTTTCAGACTAAGCAGTTCATTTTAGCTTTTGAAGACTACAGCCCATTTGTATTTTAGCTTATTTTGAAATAAATGGCAGTCTTAAAGGTGCCGCCAAAGGACATTTTCCTTCCTTCCTTTACTTTCAAAAAACTGAACATAGCCATCTCTTCAAAAACTGCCAAGAATGATCAGGTTGGCTAATACAGTCGTGGCAATGTGCTCAGGTCACAACCACCATGGTTCTCTATCTCTGCTGCTGGAAACCTGAGCAATGTGGAATTCTCTCATTCCTTTTAGCTGGGGCAAGAGGAGGAAGGACTCAGTAGACTGACATGTAGTGGGGTTTCTTCAGAAAAATGTGCTGTACCTGGAGCCTGTGCTGCAAATACTGTGTTTCTAAGCTCTGCCGTCTGGAGAGCAGCTGGGGATGCAAGCCATTTGGAAAGACAGAAGCGGCGTCCAGCTGCTGGGGGGCATTCTCCTTGGAAAGCAGGGAGAGAGAGAGAAAAAAGAAGGAAAAGGGTGAACTCACAGGGGAGACCCTCCGCCTTTCCCCAAGCAAATCACCTTCTTCATGAGTTTCCCAGCTGCTAAGACAAAAGATCCATAAAATGTGACACAGCCAGAAGCTAGGCAACTGGACAAAATCTTAGAAGATGCAAACAGTGGTGTAGGGAGGAAGGCTTGTGGGGATTCTGAAACCAGGTTCAGGCCATGACTCTGTCTCAAGGGGAGTACACCTGTTACTTGACCCTCTCCCCTTGAGACAGTCATGGTCTGAAAGTGGTTTGAAAATCCCACAAGCCACCCACAATCATATCACTGCCATATTTGCAAAGGGACGTCTGTGCCCTGGAGAAACCCAAGGAAACATCCTCACAAATCGCTCAGAATGCAGCCCCTCTCCAACATTAACACACAAGTCTCAACTTCAGAAAGAAGGAGGTGGTATAAGGAATCCAATATATCGCAACACATCACATAGGTCCAACAAGTTCCTAATTTCTTCCCCACCAGAAATGACTCGCCACCAACCAGCCCCTGCCCACTGTGCTCAAATAATCTGAAATGAAGAGCAAAGAGAATGTTGATCCAATGCAACTTTGCTGGCTTCCTGGCTGACAAGCCTGTCAATGGTTTTGCCCTGCAAGGACATCTCCCAGTGTCTCTTTGGTGCAATGGGCAAAGTAGGCTGCACAAGGGTAGGAGGCTTCCAAGAGCACGGAACAATAAAGTAAAATGCAGTACCTGTTGTGGGCCACTTCTGAGGTCTTGAAGCTGAGGGGAAGGGCCCCCCAAAGCAGGCTCGTCTTCTGTCCTCATCTGTTCGTACAACAGCTGGACTTTATTCAGCTCCAGGATTCCTTTGGTTCGTGCCAGGTTCTGAAGGTGCTGTCTGAATGCTACAATTCCTGGATTGGGAACAACCAGAGCAACTGTTAGAAGAAAAGCTATCCCAGATCATTAGTAAGGTATGTCTGTGAAAGCAGAGCTCTGCGGTAACTCCTAACATGTTATTTATTTAGACTTTGCTCCTTCTTGTTGCGCTTTTCTTAAGACATACTGAGCACAGACACACACACGCATCATACTGTGGAAGGTCAGAAACAAACTTCCTCTTCCCCCAACCAAGAGAAATATATGGAGAACACAACACAGCCAGACAAGTACAATAACAGACTTGTAAGAAAGCAAGAGCAAGAGTGTACTATAGTAACTGTGTAATAAGAAAATGGCATTTCCATGTCAGAGGAGTCGTCTGTGTGGTGTAGTGGCTCGAATGCTGGACTAGGATTCTGGGAGTTGAGGGTTCAAATCCCCACTCTGCCACTGGGGGTTCATCCTCAGAGGAAGACAATTGCAAACCTCCTCTGAACAAATCTTTCAAAGAAAATCTTGCTGTTAAGACACGGTCACCATGAGTGCACAAGAACGAACAAAACAAGAAAGCAAGCAGGAAGACAGAGGGGAAGTTCTGGAATAAGAAGCCTTGAGATGATCATGACCAAACAATGTACTGGTGAATCCGGTGACTACTTACTGGCTATATTTGAAGAAGCAATGTTAAAAGACAGACTGCATAGGATGGAGTGTAGCTTACACAGTCCTTTAGTGGCCTTTTTTGGTTCATATTATCTGATACCCTGCAGCATCAGCTATATTTTGAAAACAACAGAGTCTTTTGGCACCTTAAAGGCTAACAAGTTTCACTTGTCATAGGCTTTTGTGGACACAACCTATTTTTACTAAAGCTTAACCCCTATAGGATCTGTCACTAAAAGACTGCAGTTGTTTTCACTGCAATGCACTAAAAGGGCTACCCCATGAAAATAGCAATACTTTATAGCAACTAGGCCGTGGATGGTCACATATGCATCAACTCCCAAAACATGCAGGCAGGACTGTGCACTGAAATGAATCAGTATGTTGGTTTAACATCACATACCTTGTGTTAGGGATGTGTCCGATGCCCTTCGCCCCTCTCGGAAACTGACAGGAGACCGGTTGTGGGCCTCACGTTTGTGGGAGGCCAGCGCATGCATGGCTGGATTAGTGGGCCTCAAACTGATGAACGGAGGCGTCATCCGAGGAGCCGGTGGATTGGTCAGAACCATTTCCTTCAAAGAGGGGGTGTCTTCCAGGAAGTTAAGATCCCGCTGGATGGACCCCATGTCATATTCAGAGTCAACACTGCTCAAAGACTGATTTTCATCCATGGAAAAGACTTTTCCTGTAGAAAAAACCCACACACCATCAGCAGAGCCAACACTTGCCAAAGCAGCTTAAGCTGCTGCGTCTGCAGCCTGTTTCACTGATGAACATACTTCAAAAGCCTAGAAATGAACACCATCACATTCCTTCAAGCACTTCCCAATTCTCCAAAGATGCACAATTCACAAGAAGCAGCAATCTTTCAGTTTAAAAATGACTCCATGAACTGACAGGCCAGACAAATAATTGTGTGTTATATGCCTTCCAAGTTGTCTGCCACTTATGGTGACCCCATAAATTTCACAGGGTCTTCTTAGGCAAGGAATAATCAGAGGTGGTTTTGCCAATTCCAGAATGAATTTGGGATGAATCTTTGTTGTTCACATGCATCCTGAATGCACTTGATTAAGTTTATTTTTTTGGGGGGGGGGAAACCTACCCAAAACACCACTTATCCCTGGATCATCAATATTGAGCTTTTTCCTCAGTTTTTACAAAAGATTTGCATTGTTGTCTGTGTGAATAACGATGCATATAGACCTGAAGAGACTCGGGATAAAACTCTCCATGCCTTTAAGGGGTTTTGAATGCATCTGCATCATTGACAGTCCATGGGATCAGGAAAGCACCTCCCCCTTCCCCAGCGGAACAGCCATCGTTGGGGAGAAAAGAGGAAAGAGAGAGGAAAAGTGGGGGAGAGAAAAGGGGATGCCAACCCCCCTCTGTCCAGCTGAGGGGCGTCGGTGGATGTGGGGACAAGGGAAGGGTGCCCACACATGTGAGCAACCAAACTTGCAGAGATACAGAGCAATGTAGTTCCCAGAAAGATGCAGTTCCATGGTGTGAATTAGCAAACCTGAATGCATGCGTGAGATTATTTGCATCATTCCGGTAAAAAAACAACGTGTGAATGAAGCCAAAGACAATTTCTAAATGTAGTCAAAGGACGTGAGGGTCAAATATTTTGGGTCTTCATGACAGTTGGGATGAAGAGAAAACAGCCAGGATATCCAGAGGAAGGGTCCTTTTATATGACTGAATTATAGCACTATGATTCCACTCTAACCACCATGTTTCCATCCTATGGAATCCTGGGATTTGAATTCTTAAATACCCTAGAGGCACCACATCCTGTCTGATCTTGAAAGCTAAGCAAGGTCAGCCATGGCTAGTACTTGGAGGGGAGATTGCCAATGAATACTGGTGCTGAAGGCTATCTTTCAGAGGGAGGAAATGTCAAAACCATCTCTTGAGTATTCCTTGCCTAAGAAAACCCAGTGAAATTCACGGGGTCACTGTTAGTCAACAGGCAAGTCCCAACTTCTAAATACACAGGCAAAGTGAGAGAAAGCATCTGTTGCTTTACAGCTGTGACCCTCTTAGCATTACGTGGAGGCAGTTTGCTCAACCACAATTTTGGCAGAACATGACTGGCAATGTCACCACTGTGGATTCATTTATTTTTACTTCATCAGCCCACCCTTGTTGGTGGTGGGGCAGGAATTCCCCTTGCAGACATGAAGCCTAAAAACAAGACACTACCTTCCAGCACCAAGATGTTTCCCAGGTCAGAAGAGGACAAGGCTGTCTCTCCCTGTTTGCTCAGGAATGACAGAGAAACCTTTTCGTTTAGGGGCTTTTCCACTTCCTACCAGTCCAATTAAACACTTGGTTAGCTGGTGGCTCTGCCGACATTGTTTGCTCTTCCCAGTCTTTGCAGGCTGTCATGAGACCGCTTGGCAAAACAAGCAGAAGCCATCTGTACATTTACCCCCCTCTTATCTTCCAACAAAGCAAATTCATTGTTGGCTCCGAGGTAATAAAAACACACACAGGGCTTCTCTTTGTCGGCTGCTAAGTTCAGCAGGATGAAAAACTGAGCCCGAGTTCACAAAACCACCCCTTCTCTCTTGAGCTGCTTGCAATGTTTAACTCCTGAGCTTTCAACAAAGACACCTTTTTTGGACGACACCTCTCTGAAAGGAAGAGACACTGCAATTCTGGAAAGGGTTGCCTAAAAAAGTAACCTTTTCCAAACCCTGCTGTTCCCTGCCCAGAAGTCCCATGAGGCTTCCTTGTTCGCGTCTGCTCACAATTTATGATACGTCAAAAATGGAATTATGGGGCTTGAATATGAGAAGCCAGAATGACTAAGCTGAGACTTTGGATATATCATGAGACAATGTAACTCATTAGAAAAGACAATAATGCTAAGTAAGGTGGAAGGCAGTAGGAGACCATCTCACAGATGGATAGATGCTTATCAAGAAAACCATAGCCTTATGTATGCAAGATCTTATCAGGGCTGTTGATAACAGGGTGACTTGTAGGTCCCTCATTCATAGGGACTTGATGGGGAACTAACAACCACTTGAGAACTGCTGCCTTGCCTTAGGGTTGAGTTGGACTAGTTGACTGTCTACTGTGCTACTGCCAAGTTCTCAGCTCCAGCCTGGGCCATTTGATGTTATTCCTGTACCTGTGCCTGGCATGACTACAAGCTGATTGGTGACTTCTGCCAGAGTGTGGCGTCTCTTTCCACAGCGAGTGGCTTGCAGGGCAGCAAATGCTTGAGCAGGATCCTCTTCGGACTCTCCTTCCGTCTCTATCCCTTCGTCGATGGAGGTTTCCATCATGCTGCTTGGCAGGGACTGGCAGCCTTTCCTGCCCATCATTGGGGGCACAGGATCCAACAGGCAGCCATTCACCTAATCCAACGAGGGAAGAAGCAAAATAGACACACAAGGTTCAGTTAAGCAACAAAGATAAAGAGACAGGCAACACTCTGACAACTGGGATCTCTGTGAATGGAGAGATAAAAATTATAGGAAGGAATGTTTGAGAACAGAGCCAAGGCAGCTTGCCACGAACCGTGAATCTGCCTCTTACAAAGTCAAGAGAGGAGCTGACAAGACACAGCAGAAGCAAACATCCATGAAGTGACCTTTTCAGAAGGCCCTTCTTCTCCTTGTGAGAACAGGCAGGCTGCTAGGTTGAGTAGATACCCCGCTCCAAGATCATAAACCCCATCTTCCCAGGAGATAACTGAATTTAATCCAGTGGCAGTGACCTCTCTTCACTCTGTCAACCACACTCTAGGAAAGTAATGGGATTTTTGCTATTCCAGTGCCATCTTACTATAAATGTCATTTGAACCTACCAAAAGGCCAAGAAGCACTTTTTTAATTATTTGTTGTAATTCTTATATTTACTGTATTTTTAAAAATTAAATTCTATTTTAGATGCATTGATACGTTCTATGCATATTTTTACTAAAATGTCTGTTTTAATGCAATGCTTTCAGGATCTATTGACTGCAATAAAGAAGTGATCAAGAAACTGAACTGCACATCTCCTCGATGCCAGCTCAGGATTACTATCCAGAAAGATTGGGGCATGACTGATTTGGAAATCTCCTGTTCAGTCCCATGAAGGAGCTCTTGCCCTGTGGGGATCACGTGGAAACACTTCCCAGAAGGCTGTGTCCCAGGTGTGTGTTGCTCTTAAAAAGAAACAGCCTTCCCAGCCAGCTGATAAGTGACCTTGCTGCTCTCGATTAATTCCCAGCCATTTTAGCTGCTGTTTCTGAATCCCGTCAAGAAATCTGTCCCATAGGATCAGCTTCAAAATTAGTTAATTGCTGAATGGCTGAGGCTGGGGCCAAGTACCCAGTTGTCTAGGCACTTGTGCTGATCTCTAAAAATATATTGTTTTTAGTTTTGCTGCAGTTACCTCTTGGATGAGGCTTCAGTTTCGGGGGACGGAGAAAGGGTTTGCTCCCTATAAACAAAGACCTCCCTCACAAAGGCAAACTCAATTACCCCTCTAAAACTGAAAACTGGGTACATTGCAGGTTTCGGCACAGCTTCCTGAACCTCAATTTTTGTCTTTCCAACTTCCACACATGAGCAAGTTGGTTGCAAACCAGAGCAACAAGGGCAGCGCTGAAGAATGCCCCTGCAAAGTGTGAAAGCAAAAGCGCAGAACCCGTGTGTTCGTGGTTGAATTAAGGATCTTGGCTGAAAGAACCACCTGTACTTTAACTTGTGTGTTTGTTGCATCCACTCCAGAAATACCTGTTGAACTGCTCTGCTCTGGATGCAAGTGGAAGTGTTCCC